CTCGTGCCTCTGACTACTACCTACCCGTGAAGTGCATGGGAACTTCCTATGTACTACCGGGTGTGCCTCCTGACTCGTGCGAGCAGTCCAGGAGGCTGCTCTTGCCAATGCCGAAGGAAGGCAGGGGCTGCAGCTGCAGCTCCTGCTCAAGCTCGTGAGGAACAGGCTATTTCTGGCCTGTTCCGAAACCCTGTATTCGTGCCTGAGTCTTAGGAGTGGTCGAAACAACGAGGGCCTGAAAAAGGCCCTCCGTTTCAGGCTGGAAAAACTCTGGGCCTGAAAGGCCCAGAAATAGGCTGAAACGGAATAGGGCCTGCAGGCCCTCGTATTTCAGCTTCCAGGCTGAAACGACCGGGGCCTGTAAGCCCTAACTTTTAGGCTTTTAGGCTGAAAGTCCGGGACGGGCCCTGCAGGGCCCGTGTGGCTACGCAGTATGCCACACTTCGGCACAGGCCCAAATAGTCCCTCGTCAAAATGTCTGAATCCCAATGTCGTCAAGTCTCAAGTCACAACTCTCTCTCTCTCTGTAGTAGTCTGCCGATACTGAGAAGTCAGGTGGTGAGAGGGTGAAGAAGAGATGGTGGACTTAGAAGAAGAAGAAGAAGAACTCTCTCTCTCTCTGTGTCCAGTACTAACCTGTGAAGATGGCGCCTTGATGCAGGTACCTCGAAGATGGAGCTGGAGCTATGGCGCCACAGGTAAGTACCGCTGGCCTCCGCCAGCCATCTCTCTCCAACGCTACCACTACCAGCTACTAGCGCCCTGCGCTGAAGACTACTCCTGCAGCTATGAGCGCCCAGCGCTGAAGACTACTGCAGGCGCCAACTACTACTGCAGCGCTCCTCCTGAGTGGTGCGGCCGAATCCTGAAGACTACTCGTGCCTACTGTCCAACTACCTACCCGTGAAGTGCATGGGAACCTCCTATGTACTACTCGGGTGCCTCCTGACTGCAGGGCGAGGCAGTCCAGGAGGCTGCTCTTGCCAATGCCGAAGGGAGTCAGGGGCTGCCGCTGCAGCTCCTGCTTGAGGCTGTCGTGGGGAACAGGCCAGAAATAGCCTGTTCCCGAAACCCTGTTTTTGTGCCTGAGTCTTAGGGTAGGTAGATCTTATGAGGGCCCGAAAGTTGCCCTCCGTTTCAGGCTGAAAAGCCCTGTTTTAGGCTGAAACGACATAGGGCCTGCAGGCCCTCGTTTTTCAGTCTTCCAGGCTGAAACGACAGGGGCCTGTAAGCCCTTATTTCTAGGCTTTTAGGCTGGAAATGCGGGACGGGCCCTGCAGGCCCGTGTGGCTACGCAGTATGCCACATCGCCCCAAGCGGTTCCTAGAGTCCCAAACAGCACTCCGTAGGCAGACATTTTGAAGGCCGGGTGCCGGCCTACTGGATCGAAAACACGCCAGTAGGTCTCCGCAGAAGGGGGAGCCAGGGTGTTTTCCTCTCAAGTGCGAGATTTTCAACTGCGGTCTGTAGTATGCATGGAACGAGGAGGCGGAGTAGTGTAAATTAATCCCAATTTCGCGTTTAGGGCGCACTTGAAACTCAAGAGTTGTCCTGGGCCCGCTTTGTATTTGTCTACGCAAGGAACGCTGGACCCGGTTTCCAGCAGGTGATGCCCCCGCCAACAGCCTAGACATTTGGTACGGGTTCAGATCTTGGAAGTGGGGGGAGCCAGGAAGAGAGAGCAGATATCTGGTGCCAGGTGCAGGGTGAAGAGGCTCCCCCCCGCTCAACCTCCTTCTCAGTCAATCCCCTGGACTCCAGGGCAATCAATGCTGGCAGGATCGTACCATATTGTTCTGAAGCGATTTGAATCCTGTCTATGTAAGGGATGCTGGACCCGGTTTCCAGCAGGTGCTGCTCCCCACCAATAGATGGAGCCTGCCCTGGGTGCTAGCGGTGTCGGCATGTACCAGCACCGCTAGCAAAAAAAAAAAAAAAAAAAAAAAAAAAGTGGTGTGGAACGAGGCGCTAAGAACTTTGACCTCAGGGAGGTGGAAGCCACAACAGTGCTTTGAGGAATGTATCTGGCCACTATATGAGGAATGTGATTGTTTTTCTTCTTTCCATTTTCTTGTAGTGCCCTGCCAGCAAGGCAGAGCGTAATCCACGAGGGGCAACTGACTGCCTCACTCAGCTCATACTCACACTAGTACTCTAGCGTCGTGTATCGGACCGCAATGACAGCATAACGGATGCTTTTTTTTTCCGTTCTTCATTTGTTGTTCATCGGACAGACGCCCTCACTGAGGGCACAGTCACACTATCACCTCATAGAATGCATCTGATGGCTATCACGGCGTTAGGGAAGTTTTTTTTCTTTTTTTCCTTCCTTTTTTTTTTTCTTTTTTTTTTGAGTACCAGAAAAGAAAACACACCCAAGAGCGTAGCTCAGTGGGTACACCCATGAACTGTTGAAACTTGAAATGCAGACCTGTGTGATGGAAATTGATGAGGAAAACCAAATATTTCTGAATTGCTGGGGCTGGTAAGCTCAATGATGATATCTCAAGGCAGTCGCCCAGCCAAAAGCACGCCCACGCCGGTTCGGTTTTTGGTGCACAGCACATTTTTCCAGCCCTGGAGAAAAGTGCCTTAGAAGTACTGGTGGCCTGCTCCTACCCTGTCGGCCCATATGCTATAAGCCCACTAGCAACAGGTTGGACTCATATTTGACCCAATTGAATGCCAGCTGTGCAAATATGTGCATCATGATGTCTGAAAATCAATTGGTTGCCATTTGAGCTTATCCTGTGTGTGCTGGGCCGCATAGATCTGGCTGCTTGCCAGGGATCTGACACAATCCAATTCCAGAATTTTATGGGGCACATCCTTTTTTTTTTTCTTTTTTTTTTTTTAAGGCTAATTCCGTAAGCCCAACCATTCAATTACTTGTCGAATCTGGAGAGGACGGCCTTTCAGGCCTCTTTTATTGTCATTATAGTATTACGGGGAACCCCGTAGCAGCCACATCCGTGCTCAAGCCTCCAACGAGGGATGACTCCACCCAGCAAGGGAAGAGCTTACAGAAAAGAAAAAGAAAAAGAAAAGCATTCACCT